CTTTCATTCTAAATTAGTCCTTAAACTTTTGAACATTCTAATTTCATCCCCAAACTATGGCCCTCATTCTAAAATTGGTCCCCAAATGTTTGAATCTTTCAATTTCATATTCAAAGTCATTCAAATATGTAATTAGTTTCAAGCATAGTTTAACATAAATTTTATTCTTTCCAAACATATAATAATATAATTTGTCCTAACATTTTATTAACAAAGAATGTGATAAGTATATATGTATAGTTTGGGATAAAATTGAAATGTTTAAAAAGTTTGGGAACCAAGTCTAATGAAGGTAATAGTTTGAGGATGAAAATGAAATGTTCAAAAGTTTGAGGAGTAATTTAGAATGATAGTCATAGTTTATGGATGAAATTGGAATGTTTAAAAGTTTAGGGACTAATTTAGAATAAGAGTTATGATTTAAGGACATGTGAGACAATGAACTCATCCTATTTTAATTAGATTTGTATATTTACTTGGCTTTAATGAGGATGACAAACAAAGTGGATTTTAAAGCATATTTATATATTACAAAAATTATAAATATTTTGGTTTATTATTTTCTCTAAGATTTGAATTTAATACATGTAAACCCATGTATATGGTTTTTTTTAATAAGGACCGGAAGCTAATTTTTCAATTCTTACCTGCTAAAGAACTTGGTATGTGCTCTTTCCATGTTTATTTTATTTTTAAATAGTATACTGTGATTATGATAAACACTGTTTAAAATTATTTTTAGTTATTATCAACATACACTTATAACGCAACTGTTTAAATCTAAGACATTTAAGGAGAACGACACTCCCTTTAATAATTGATATAATATGTATAATCAATTGCTTTTTATTTTCTTCCTAGAAATTGAAATAAATAAATTTTCTAACAGCAGTGATTAAATTCAGATGATATATATTTATCAAAATAATTTCTTAAATATTGAATGATCATATAAATAATCTACTCTTTATTTTGGTATAATAATATTTTTCTCTCGAACTTTTTTCTAGAAAAAGTCATTTTATCTCTTAATTTTTTTAATCTATTTTGATCCTTAAAATTTTATCTTTTATGATTTTGAACCAATTAATAGAAAAAATAATATACTTGTTAACATCACATCAAGTATTTTATCTTTATTATATTTTAATAATTTTTCTAAATTCTACAATTTTTAATAATTTAAATATTTTTTTTATTTTAAATATTTTATTATTTTATATATTGTTTTTGAATTGTATGTTGAATGACCAAAAAATATGTCAACATTAGAAAAATAGGTCAACTTTATATACATTTTTTTTCTGTCAACTAATTTAATTAGACAAAAATTAAAATTTTGATAGGAAAAAATAATGATAATAATAATCTTTTTAAAAATTTTGAAATTAAAAAATATCATCTTACCTTTATTTCTTGGATTTCAACTTTATCTTTTCTTTCATATGTATGCTAGGATTGTATTTTATGTGACCCCAAAGAAACGAGTTGAGAAGTAATATATTATTACCATTTTCATTATCTTTTAATATATAAGTCATTATAGCGTGTATATATATATATATATTATAATTGTATAAATTGTATTTATAAATATCAATAAAAATAAATTAAAATTATATTAAATAAGTGGATGAAAAATTAATGAATAGTCCTTTTTTTGGGTGAACGCTTTATTGTTTGAATGAATTGAAAGTAATTGTAGAGTAAAATTAAGAAATTTGGGTTTGCGTTGTGGGTGTGGGTGTGGGTATGGTCCAAAATGTCCTTTGTAGAAGAAAGCAAAATATTAAAATGGATTAAATAGTCTCCTAAAATATATTATTTATATCAATTTATCTTTTAAAGTATTTTTTGAGATTTTTATTTTATAAATTTTTATATTTAAATAAATAAAAATCAAGCAAAAGATAAAATAATCAATATATCAAAAATACACCCATCTTCCCTATCTCCACTGACCACTGGTTATCGGTCTTTCCATTTCACCAATAACTCAAAATTTCACATTTCACTCTCTTCCCCAATATCTCCTCCACCTCTGCATACTCATATATCAAATCGTTTAACACCTTTATTATACTTTCAAGCCCTAACCTTCTCCCAAAGTGCACCAGGTTCCTTTTTGGGGTCACCTTCAAAACCTCTTTAGCTAAAGCTATTGGTGTTAAGCCCCTTTCATCTTCCACTTCAGGATCCGATGTCGATGCTTCACCTAGGATTCATCGTCGATGTTTGATTCAAACGTGTTCCCTGTTTCTTGGTTTGGACAGCAAAGAAGCAAAATTCTTGTTGGGCTTTGAGTGAGTTGTTGGCGTGGGGGAGTGAAAAAATTAGAAAGCGGAGGTTTTGGTTTACAAATGGAGTTTCCATGTAATCTAAAGAAATGGAAAATTAGAAATTGAAGCAGCATTGATGTAGACAAAAGATATGTTTTTAGATAAGAAATACTATGCATTTTCTTTGATTTCTTTGATTGGATGGATTTGATGTCGTCTACAAAAATGTGGGAAAGGGAAAGGGAAAACCAGTCTCGAAGATGTCAAAGGAGGAGACAGTAAAGAAAGCGTTAGAGAAGATGATTGGTCTCCCATTGAAGCAAATTATCAAACAGGTTCTCGACGTCATTGAGGGCTACGAATCTTCTTGTCAAAAACTGGCTTCCATTGTTGTTTTTCGAACCCAAAATCAAGCTCGTTCCCTTATCAATCTCCCGATCTTGTCCGCTCCCCATCTTCTCTGTTCCATCACCAACACCCTATTTGAATTCGCCATTATTTTTTTGCGTTCATAGATCCCATCCCAAAAACTTAGCTTTGAAATTAACAAAACGTAGAGACGAATGAGGTATACGACATTAATGGAGTTAGAAGGAGTGACGAAGATGGTAAAGGAAGCTGAAGAGTGATGCTGGAAAATGGAGAGGGGAAAACAGAGGTATTAGGTTAAGGAAAGGGATGAGGAAGGGGAAGGGAAAGAGGGGTAGTTTTGGTATATTATTATTTTATTCTTTTTAACTTTTTTTATTTATTAAGATAAAGAAAATAAAAATTAAGAGGTGATGTGTCATGTTTTAATTGATTATTAATTATTTTTTTAATATAATTATCATTTTGAGACAAATGATATAACGATTTAAATTTTAAGATGTAAAATATCTCGAAAAATATTTTAGGGATAATTCTGTATAAATAATATATTTTATGGGGGAAATGGACCATTTAAATATATTAAAATTAGTCGTTTATTAGATTGATCTTGATTTTTTTTAGAGTATTTTGATTTATAACATCTCATTTTAAAGTAAAATTATTTTTAACGTTTAATTTAATAATCACTTTTATTCTTATTCGTTTATTCTGAAGTATTTTGTTTATAATGTTTTATTTTTAGATTAAAAAGTTTTTATTTTGAAATGTTAAATATTTATTAAATAATGATTTTTATTTATATAAAAAATTAATCTTAAAATAAAATAGTAAGGTTAAATTATTTAAAAAAAATAAAAGTTAAAATGCTTATTTTAATAAATGTTGAGCTTAATTTTGATATTATGGGGAAGAAGAATTGGTAAAAGATGTAGTTGGGATCTACGTCCGCAGTGTTGGATTCGTCTAGTGTGGCAGGAAGATCTGGTGCCAAATGTCGGCAAAATGTGATAGATCCGTAGGTTTATGGGAACTTCATTTACTTCTGTAAGGTAACACAATTAATCTGTGGGTTCATCCAAGTTACGACTACCGACACACAAAATTAAATTATATATACATACATTTCTTTTGCTTGTTCGGGTGTGACTCGTAGTCGTGCTATTTTCATTAAATGTTAAAAAGATTAATCATATAAATGTATTACGAGCTTCACAAATTATTATTTATAAGACTAACTAAAAGATAAAGAAAAGAATACACAAAGTGATAAACGTTAAAAAAAAGAGAAAAGAAGATAAAATATTCATATTCATATTTATTTATAACAAAAGATTTCTTTAAATAACATCAAACTTTTTTTTCATTTAATCCAATGGACATCGATGGTTGCAGAAATATTGAATCCCCCCCCCCCCAAAAAAAAAAAAATTGTACTTAAGCTAAGACTGGTTTAGGCAAAAGTTAGAAACAAAAATGTTGATAAGTGCAAGGGCAGGCCTAAATTGCTGGAGTGATTGATGGAGCATTGACACATGCAATCTACAAAGAATTAAATGATAAAATATGGAGGGACCTTAACCTAAAAGGAAATGGGTGGTGGTGGATGGGCGATAGGAATGTATAAAATTAGTTCGATTTATAAAATTGACTAAAATTGGTTTATGTTAAAATTATTGTTTATGACTTGAGGTGATGATACTTCGGATTTGATTCGAGTCTAAATTAATATTAATATAAACTCGAATTAAATTTAATAATTTTAGATCTGAATTTAACCTATATCCAACTTGAGAATGACCTTGAACTTAAAAGTAATTGAGTGGTGATGGGTGGACCATGCAAAAGGTGACATCCTTCACATGCTCTCATCAAATGGTGGTTAAATGCAGACATTATCAAGATTTGTACGTTTAAATCTAGTGGGGAACCCTTCCTTTTCTCTGCTAAAAGCTCAAGAAGAGAAGAGAAACCACTGCCACCGCTGCTCTCTCTCATTTGGATTTGTACTCCAAACGGCTTGATTGTCTTTTTGACAGGATCTGTTCCCCCATGTGTGTGGTCCTGGTTCATGGGATTAGGTTAGCAGGTAAAATGAGAAGAAAAAACACATAAAAATAAACTCACATCCGAATTTGGTAGGCATTGTTCATATCCTGTAATCCTTTCTCTTTCCTTTTTCCTTTCAACCCCACTTGTTTCCCATGTGTTTACATGTTGACAATGAACAACTTAATTAATGATCATGTGATTAAGCAAGCCTTAAGGGACAACCAACCTTAGACAGGGACACTGACCGTTCTGTGGATTTCTTTCCTCTTTTAGTCTTGCGGTTATATGAAGACAAGGTTTTAACACCATCATCTGTTTTTCTGCAGGCATTTAAACGCCGCCTTTTCATCTATTTCTACCACAAAGATCCCCTTCTCCACTGAGAAACTAACACACAATGAAACATTTGGCGTTGCCTTTTCTTCTAGCTCTTCTCTTCGGCCATCATCTTCTTACCGTCCATGTTGAAGCAGGGGATGATTTCATACGGACCCGAGGTGTCAATTTCTACTTAAACGGCAACCCTTACTTTGCAAATGGTTTCAATGCCTACTGGTTGATGTATATGGCCTCTGACCCATCTCAGAGGCTTAAAGTCTCCGCCGCATTTCGTGACGCAGCCACTCATGGTCTCACAGTGGCTAGAACTTGGGCTTTCAGCGATGGTGGTTACAGACCTTTACAGTATGCCCCAGGTTCCTACAACGAACAAATGTTTAAGGTATCTTTTTTTCTGCTGATTTCCTTAAATATAATAGTTTTTCAAAAGCTGATTATTTGGGTCATTTTTTTTTTTTCATTTTGGAATGGTTTTAAAGGGATTAGATTTTGTGATAGCCGAGGCAAGAAAGTATAGAATCAAGCTCATCCTCGGCTTAGCTAATAACTATGAAAGCTTTGGTGGGAAGAAACAATATGTAAACTGGGCAAGAAGCCAAGGCCAATACCTTACATCTGATGATGATTTCTTCAGAAATCCTGTTGTTAAGGGCTACTATAAGAATCATGTCAAGGTAAACTCTCAAAATGATTTATATTTTCCTCCTTTTTATGGATAATGAATATATGTTTTACATACTAGTTCCTTTTGCAGACTGTTCTCAACAGATATAATAGCTTTACTGGAATTCACTACAAAGATGACCCAACAATAATGGCCTGGGAGCTTATGAATGAGCCTAGATGCACATCTGATCCTTCTGGCAGAACCATTCAGGTTTTAACAATCTTCCATAGCTAAATCTGACTTCATCTTAAATGTTCTTCATTTGCAATTGGTTATTGATGCTTTGTTTGATAGGCTTGGATAATGGAAATGGCTTCCCATGTGAAGTCCATAGACAGAAATCACTTGCTTGAAGCTGGTTTGGAAGGATTTTATGGACAATCAACTCCACAGAGGAAGAGACTCAATCCCAGTTTGGATGTTGGAACAGATTTCATCGCAAATAATCAGATTCCTGGGATTGATTTCGCCACAGTCCACTCATATCCTGACCAATGGTACTAATATTTATGAAACTTGAATTCAATTGTCAATAAAAAAAAATACTGTAACAAAGCCTTGATCTTAGTTCCTCATTGTTGCATGAACGAGCAGGTTATCCACCTCAAATGAACAATACCAGCTCTCTTTCTTGAACAACTGGCTTGACACTCACATCCGGGACGCGAAAGTCATACTCCGAAAGCCGATACTCGTGGCGGAATTCGGGAAATCGTGGAAAGACCCCAGTTTCAGCACTTATCAGAGGGACCAAGTGTTCAACACAGTCTACAACAAAATATACTCGTCGGCTAAAACAGGAGGTCCAGCATCTGGTGGGCTGTTTTGGCAACTTCTAGCTCAAGGAATGGAGTCTTTCGGGGATGGATACGAGGTAGTTTTGAGTGAGAGGTCCTCCACAGCTAATGTGATTGCTCAACAATCCCACAAACTGGACCAAATCCGTAAGATATTCACTAGGATGAGAAATGTGCAGCGGTGGAAGAGGGCAAGAGCCATGAGAAAGGGTCGATGGCATCGTAGAAACAGGGGCAAACGCATTGGCAACTGAAAATGAAAAGAAAATACGATTATATGCTCTGCATTTTGACTGTTGAAAACTGCAATTGTTTGGTTCAAGTTTGTGATTTTGGAAAATGGTTTGCTCTCTTAGTGATGAATGTTTTGTTCCTCCAGGAGGGTAGAGCTAAGCTTTGGGCATTGTAATATTTTTTCACTTTATAAACTAAGTTCTTGTTAAGTGCTCATCGTTCAAAATAATAATAATATTTTTTTAATAATATGATGGGATTATAAGGTATTATCTGTTTAAGATTTTTTTAATTATTAACAATTCATACATCTTGTACACATAATTGTTCGAATCCAGGACCTTTAGAAAAAGCAATACTCCCCAAATCAAGCTACTAGATGGGTTCAATTTTTTTTAAACATCATTAACTCTTTAAGCCCTCATAACTAACAAAACAATTAATAAAATGTTTTATATAGAATAGTTCAGACATATCTATTTTTTATTTAAGAAAACATTTAATAGTAGATAGGCTTATTCAAGAGTTGATTACCCTCTTAAATTTGAGGCTTGTTTATATTATTTGGGTATGTTTAAACGAGAATATTAAGTTTTCATATTAAAAATTTTAGTCCATTTAAAATATGAGTGAAATTTAAATTTCAACATTTAAAGCTTACGTTTCGTTTATATATTTTAAAATTTTATAAAAAGTTTTTTTTCTTATTTATATATGTTATATAATATATATTATAAGTAAAACTTTAATATATTCGGTTAAATAAAACATTATCAACAACGTCTTGTCACTTGCATACAAGATAAATACATTAATGTGTATCATAAATATAACAGTGATCGACCAGTGACAGTCTGATGAGCAAGAGCAAGAGCGTGAATAATTGAGGCAACGACATACAAAGATGAATCACTCCGACGTCCCAAAGCATTAGACATATAGGAGGAAAACCTACTTGAAGAATAATCCTAAGTGAGTGAATGAAAACCAAATCATCCTTTAACCACAGTCTTGTTTGACACATATATCCTAGAACCAACAGAATGTCATATACAGATCGACCAGTGACAGTCTGATGAGCAAGAGCAAGAGCGTGAATAATTGAGGCAACGACATACAAAGATGGATCACTCCGACGTCCCAAAGCATTAGACATATAGGAGGAAAACCTACCTGAAGAATAATCCTAAGTGAGTGAATGAAAAACGAATCATCATTTAACCACAGTCTTGTTTGACACATATATCCTAGAACCAACAGAATGTCATATACAGATGAACAAAGGAGACATGCATTGGAAAAGCAAACAACCATGAAATCTCGAAGAACCACTAAAAAAAGACCAATGAAAAAAACCTGCATCGAGAGTCCAAAAGCATTGGTAGCCATAATACCTTTTACTAGAAGAAAGATCAAAAAAAAATATTATTTTGAATACGTTAAAATATAATTGAAAATGAATAAAATCAAACAAAAATCGAGTAAAGAAAAAAAAATGACATGAAAGTGGCCGGAGGATACGACCACCTCTGCCCTTGATGAAAAACTTGTGCTAACTTCCAAGTAAATTTGTAACTGCAACAAATATTAAATCATTTATATTTACAATTTCAATAAAAAAATTTGTATGAAATTAATAATATTAAATATATATATATATATATATATATATATATATATATATATATATAATATATATATATATATATATATATATATATATATATATATATATATATATATTGTTAGTGTGATAAGTGTAGACACCTATTTTTGTCCGAAACCCGTTTATGTTATAGTATAATATATATTATAGTAGTATATGGTATATTATATAATATATGGTGTATTATTATAGTATATGTTGTATATAGTATATATTATATAGAATATTATTATATATTATAGTATAATATTATATATTATACAGTATATAGTATATATTATATTATATAGTATATAGTATATTCTTATATATTATATATTATATATTATTATATGATATATTATTATTATTATAGTATTGTACATTATATATTATATTATAGTATTATATGTTATTTATTATATATTATATTATATTATTATATTTATATTTATATTATTTATTTATTTATTTTGATTTTAGGTCTGAAATCCAATCTAAGTCCAAAGGTCCATTCGGGTCCAAAATGAAGCTCAACCGGGTAATACCAGCCTGACCCAGCATGCAAACTCGAAGGCCCAACCGAGCAAGCAGGTTTGACCAAGCAAGAAAGCCCAAAAAGGAATTAGGGTTTTGAGCTTAGTAGGGGCGCCACACAAGGGATATCAAACGGCCGGTAGTGGCGCGCGTGGAGGTCACGCGCCAGCAAGGTCACCAAGCCAACGCTCAAGCTGAAAACCAAGGAGCAAATCGGAGAAAAAAGTCCCTATTTTTCAGTAACAAGTGCCGAAAAATCGGCCACAACCGAACGTGCAAGGGAATCCCAACGAAATCGGGATTACAACAACCCGATTCAAAGGAAATATTCTTTTTTTGAAGGCTATAACTAGCTTCCGGTGAAGCTAAGAAAGACACAAAGAAAACCATTGAAGAACACAACAAAAAACAATGCAACTAAATAAGAAAGAGCATCGAAAACATGAAACAAAACTGACCAAAAACATTTCACAAAAACACAAAAAAAATCACAAAACACAAATGAGCAGTTTCAGTCGTGGCTTAGGATATGAGCGACCGCCGAAAGTTAAAGAGACACATCGGGAAAAGGTAAAATTTTGAAACTTTGCGTTTAGATCTACGCCGATGGGGTGTTTGGGCCCCGATATTAGGTTCACGAGGTTGAAAGGAACATTTTGGTTAAGTTTGGGTTTTTCGACCACCCGTGGTAGTGGTTGGAGCGGCGGTCAACGGTTGTTCGGGCGGCGGGGACGTGGACGTTCTTTTGGCTGCTTATGACCTGTTGGGGGAGGTTGATAGAGAGTTAAGAGAGTTTGGGGGTTTGATTTTGAGAAATGGTTAAAAATGAGTGAAATGTGTGAGTTTTGGGCTATTTATAGGGGACCTCTGTGTAATTAGCAAAAGTTTAAATTATTTCTACAGTCCCTGAAGTTTTGATGTGTAGTTCATTTTGGTTACCTGTTGTAATTTTGCCCTTGAATTTTGAGTTAATTTAATTTAATCCCTGTTTATATTTCTTTTATTTTGCAAATTAGCCCCTTAACCCTTTTATTTTTCCTTGCATCATTCATTTAGCATCAATTTGACCCATAAATTTTTTAATTATTTTCAATTTAATCATTTTTAATATTTATTTTTTAATTTAATACCCTGATCTTTTATTTTATTTTATTTTATTGTTTAACATTAAGTTTAATTTTTTAGGCAATTTTAAATTGGTCAAAGGTAAGTGATTCAGATCGAATTTTTAAATTTCAATTTTAATTTTCGCAATTAAGACAACCGGGAAATCAAATTGGTACTGAAAGGGCAGTACAAGGGTGCTAATCCTTCCTTGACTGTAATCGACTCCCGAATTCGACTAATTTCTGGTAAGTTGTAGATCAGACAAACGATAGGTTAAGGTGTCCGATCAACCTAATTTGAAATGATCGGTGGCGGCTCCATCACATCAATTTAAGTCAAGACCCGATTCCGGGACCACCCGAAGGATGGTTACGACAACTTGGCGACTCTGTTGGGGATAGGTAAGAGAGTCAAACCAAAAATGATTCCTGGTTGTCTTCCTAAATGAAAGTTGTAAGTTTGGATTATAATTTATCTTTTCGATCCTTGATATTTACTTTTGATTATTATTTTTCAAATAAATAGTTGGACTGACTTTTTTCTAATGATTTTAGATTTTTTTTAAAAAAATCATTCATCTAAGGCACTATTCCCGAGCTCAAAACCATTTTTTTATGGGGGCGAAAGCGATGCCTTCGTGGGAATTTATTCTCCATATAGGCCTAGCAAGTAACCTTCGGGATTCATATACCTTATACCTTCGTGTTAATTTATTCTCCGTACAGACATAAGGGAATGTATCCTCTCGAGTTTAACTTTGTCCACATAAGCCTGTGATGAGCTTAAGACTGAGGGTCTGGCAGGCCTAAAGGGACACCATCAAGGAGAACTTGAGTACCTCTTTTAGAACCAAACCGGGATGCTACAAGAAATTAGAGCCCATCCCAAAACTTCATTCAAAACATATGATGCTTGATTTATTTCCTGATTTATTTTAATGTTCAAAGCATGTGAATTAGAAATATAAGTGGATAGGATTTTTTTGAGAAAATAACATATGAGATAGAAATCATGTCTGGGTAGGAACAAAAGCATGTGGGGTAAACATCATGAGGGGTATGATTTTTTTATTTTAATTATTGTTTCTATTTTACTAACTTGTTTTCTTTCGTTTTTGTTTTATTTCCTTTTTTTTTATTTTCATCATTTAAAAGGTTTTGATCTGCAAAGTGTTCGTTAAACTCGAATAGTTTGCATTAATGGAAAAGATGTTGTAATGCAAGAGGTAAAAAATGTAGAAGTACGACTGTGGTCAGAAAAGACTCAGAAGAAAAAGAGAGACAGTCTGCAAGGTAGCTATGTGTCAGAATTGGATGGCTACGCTTCCATCATCCTCAAACAGAATGATATTCAAAAGCTACGAAACATTTGGGATAGTTGGAAAAATGACAGAAAGTAGAGGTTCTTCTAGCGATATGACGATATTGCACACATGCTCTGTGTCAAGATAGACGAACATCTAATTCGAGCCCTAATGTAATTATAGAATCCGGGGTACAACTGTTTTACCTTCAACCAAGAAGACATGATGCCCACATTGAAGAATACATTACCCTACTGCATTGCGAGGGAATCATAATGGACCGAGTCTTCATCAAATACATTAAAAGTCAACCCTTCAAAAATGGATTGGAAATGGTCGCAGAGGTTGATGACAAGTTGATAACAGATCGAATCCAACACAAAGGGAAGGGATAAAGAATTGTTTGGGTTCACATCAAGTAGTTAATGAAG